AAGAAAAAATATTGTCTATTTATTAAGTTAGTAATGAAAATCCAGATTGCCAGATCAGAGATTTAAATTACGTATGTTTAAAAGTTATATTGTTGAAATTAAAAATTGTAGCAAGTCTGTGTTGTGTGTTTTTATATATTCGCAACGATATAAATACACATAATGAAGGGTGTTTTTTTTTAATGGATGATAATAAAATGGTTACCCGCCTGCGCTAACGGTATACGCTGGCGGGGCACCAGTGAGGGATGATAAGTTAGGAAGGCAAAACAAGTCATTTAGCCCATCATGATGAATACACCAGGAATTCAGCACAATGGTTTCCAGAGGGGACCACGTGGAGGTCGACCTGATAGGGTATATTGCTAGCAATGAGACTGGTAGTCCACAATACTAATAATTCCTACCCTCCCAATGAAGTATGTTAGGGTTGGGATACATAGATGACGTATAGGGAAGATGATCGCGTGGAGGAACGGCCTTGGCTCATGACATTGACGCGACGAACACTTCCTGTTATCTCATTTGCGATACTACGCGCCACTCGCGACCGGCATTAATCATTATTGGAACAAAGAATGTCCACTCACGGTAATTGTAATTAACACGCGTCGACCTTGGTGGGCTCATTATCTGAGGCTCGGTCACCATAGCGCAACGTCACAAAGGACTTAATAAAATATTTATCTATGTGTGTAAACAGGAATGTTTTCCTTGATCATTATTTTTGCTATTTACGAGATTATGCGTATCGATCGTCCAACAACCAGGAAGCCGCGGCTGTATATACAACTCGTGGTTTACACGTGTATTTGTACATATATATAAAAAAGCTACATTACTGGCTGATTGACCGGCATGAATACACAGCCAAAACTTCTATTTCCATATATAACTATACATGCGCTGCCTGTAGCCCTATGAGACAATTGCAAAGGAAAGCATTGCCCAATAACGAGTTGTTATATTCATAATAATGCACACATTACAAGATTTTTTTAGAAATATCCTCGCAAGTGTTTTTTCAGTTAATGTATAATAAAAGTATTTCAGGAGAATTCTACCAGTAAAACTAAACTATTTTCCCAACAAAACAATTTTTTTTTTTTTATGGATAATAATGGAATGGTAATCCCGCCTGCGCTAATGGTATACGCTAGCGAAGTATCAGTGATAGAGAAAAGGTGAGAATGAAAAGATCAGTCAGTCAGTTAGTCCATCGTGATGAAGAAGCCTGGAATTCAGCACGATGGTTTCTAGGGAGGACCACGTGGAGATTGACCTGGCAGGTGTATTGCTAGCAATCGCACTGGTAGCCCGCATTACGAACAATCCCTCCTCTCACCCCCAAAGTCAATCTAAGTTAGTATAGAAGGCATAATTTCTGTCTCATTATATTTTTTTTAATAGTTGAAAATGGAAGAGTAACCTCGCCTGCGCTATCAGTTTACACTGGCGAGAGATCAGAGAGTGGTGATAGGTGAGGATGAAAGCAGGTTAGTTAGCCAATTGTGACGAATTCTAAAAGAATTAAGGTTTTCAGGAGAGACTACGTGGGGGTGTTCCATTATATTCTATAGCATCGGTACACTGCGAGTTTTATGAACGGCTAACGATTCTGATTTCAGCATGTATACCTATATATGTGAGCTGAGGACAGTGAGACGTCATAGTATGGAGTGCGTAATGTTCAGTGCGCAAACATGTTTACCACGCTCGCAAGTTCAAGGCCCTTTTCAACGAACGACGTAGGAAAAAATGGCGTACTTTTCATCGAGGCATTTAGTTAGAGGACACTCGTGGGTACCTATATAATAAAAATAGTACCATGTACTCTAACAACGCACTTAGTATATATTCACCTTTTATGACGTCGCTTGTAATGTCCACATCCCGTATGATGAATTAATTAAATCTATTACAAATAATTAACGGTTGAGAGATGGGCAGCAACGTCCCTTTTAAAACATCATCAAAGCCTTACTGCAGTTGGCAACCTGTCTGCCAATCGTGGCAACTAAAAATACAAACAAGGACAAAACCCTTAAAAGGGAAGGCCTATGTTTTTTTTTTTAATGGGTGATAATGGAATGGTAACCCCACCCGCGCTCTCGGTATACACCGGCGTGGCACCAATGAAGAATGATAGATGAGGATGAAGCAGGTCAGTTAGCCCATCGTGACGAATTCAACAAGAATTGTTCACGATGGTTTCCAGGGGGAACCACGTGGAGGTCGACCTAATAGCGCATATTGCTAGCAATGGGGCTGGCAAACTCCATTGCTAACAATCCCTTTCCCCCCGGAAGGCCTATGTTAGCAGTGCACAGTTGATGGCTCGTATGATAATGATAATGATTTCAAATAATTAATCATAGTGATTAATACCTACAACATGTGCTAACAGGAGTTTATAAGTGTGCGTAAAAACACAATTAACATCGCTGAAAATACAGAATTTAATTATAACATTACTACTACCTACTGGCTATTTTATAATTTAGGCTAAAATAATATAATTTAGTTTAGCTTCTCCATTGAGACAAGTCTTTGGTACTTAATCTACTAATTACGTTACCCAAAACTCTACTATCTTCGTTTTATTTTCTTTCTTAATAAAAAATATTGTATTTTTACTCCATCATTGTATGAATTCTATAAGTATTACCGATTTGCATATTAATTGAATTTTCATTATATTATTAAATTAAATTAAATTCTTATTATATTAAATTCATTGAATCTGACTAAAATAATTACTTGTACTTATTCCCACTGTTTTTATTCTAAAATGTTTATACTGTTATTGTGCTTATACCACTTAGACTTAAATATATAATTATGCATTATTAAACATATAAAAATGCATATTTTTGTTACTCCACAATCGACTAGAATGAAACCACCAGTAAATAGTTAAATAAACTTGTGCAAAGGTAACGGTCGAAATTACGAGTAGACTACTAAAATTGTGTTATAAAAAAGTAGATGTGGTGTATAGAAAATCAAATATTCGAAAATATAAATAAAAAAGAGCGCTCTATCTTTCCAATACACATAATGTCAGTGTAAGCTTGCGCTTGTTGATTAAAGAGTCGCTATGCATTTGTAAGACAATGTCTCTATTATTTATTATGTGGATGTGGTACTAAATTATGAAGATTATGCTTATTATATTGAATAATACGGTATATTAAATTTACTCCAATATCCTTTTTGAAATTGAGGTCGTTGTAAGTATTTGTATGTAAGGCTTGAAGAGAGCGCAGCGCACATGTCATATGGCGTGAAACGGCCAGGTGCACTGCGGTCAGCACCTGCAAACTTTCCAATCGGGCAGTTGGCACTTATAACCCTGCTAAACGGGTCGAGTTATATAGGGTCTTTCATGGGCTATCCAGAAGAGAAGGAGTTTCGTAATTGAGAAGATGAGCTATGCCTATTAAGTATTCATAACAGGGTTTATTATGCATATATATAAAAAATGCACACATGACATCTGATATCATCCTAATATTATACTCGTAAATAATTATGAAAATTTGTATGTTAGTCTTTCATTCGTATTTAAAGGGCTGAACGGATTTAAATGAGATTGGGTACACGGTTATATCTTGACACATAGGACACTCTATAATATAAATTTACACACACATTAAATGTTAGTATGATTTAAATCCTGAAACAATATACAAAATCAAATTTTGATTAGATAAATTACAATAATAATATAATTATAGAATGACCAATCAAATTGTGTCTCATTATGTCTAAGCCGATATAACATAATTTTTAAAATTATTTGTTAGATGTTTTCGTCACCTGAGCTTCCTCGACATTGAACGTTTGCAAAATAATTTTATTTTAAGAAAAATGAAGGTCATACAACATTAGCATTGGCCTTGGTTTCATATACAAACAGTAGAGGTGATATCGGTCGCGACTTTCATACGTCTTATTTATTTAAATTACAATGCCTTTGTCATGTAAAACGAGCTAACAAAACCACTATATAAGCTGACGTACAATATATTTGCATCACGGGTTCTGTATAAATACCACATAGACCTAATTGTATATGAATTACTGACTCTAAAAAATATTTTATTTATGAGGTAATGTGACCCCGACATTGGTCTTTAATATTCGTGTAGTTGTTCCGCGCGGAATTCTAAAAGCAGATGTAGTTTAAATGTTCAACTCGACTCCTGACATTGCATGGCTTCCTGTCTATTTACATCTATCTCTATAGGTTGCCTTCACACAAGCGGGTTGAGGTCACCGAACATACGTCTTGATTCTACAAGAACATTGAAATTGCTTATATTGTATTTTTTATAATCTTCTATTTGAAAATATTATTAGTCCAATATTAATTTACATAATGGTTGATGAAAAGGAAATGTGATATCTAGATTGTAACTATAATTAGGCTGTGTTATAATTAAAACTACATTAAAATGTATTGATCCTGGATATGAGCTACAAAACAAAAACTAAATTTCGAAATAATCTCCTAATAAGTTTAATGTAATACGTACTGGAATAAACAGATATTATGTTATGTATATAGTATATACCTAATTTACTTCTACGTTCCTTGCTTTGTCTATATTTTAAAAGAATAATATATAATATTATGTTTTCAGCCCGAAGGATCATATAAGAATGATAAATTAATGTGAACACTTTGGTACATTCATAAGATAGTTTTGATAGTTTCGAAGAAAGTAAAACCCGACGATTTGCTTCCATGTGTAGATATGTGTGTGTGTGTGCGAAAGAGAGGGTGAAAGAGGTGTCAGTAACACACTATTATAACCTTACAGACCGTAAGACATTTGTCGCTGGGATAAGTCTTAAGGATTCTATGTTAAGACTTTTTCATGTCCTAAATATAAACTATGCACAATAAACATTATTATAACAACTACAACGTAATTTTTCATGAAATCTTATTTTTCTACTGTTAAAGGGTCTCACAATTGACCACGTTCTCATCTCTGATGGGAAGTGACGATGTAATCGAAGATGAAAATCGCGATGCTGTGCATACCTCATTTACATTTGTCTTAAATAGGTCTAAATTGTATGTACTCGTACTTGGAAAAATATACGCAGGGAGAGTTTTACTTCTTAATAGTACTGTTTTCATTATGCCCACGCAATATGATCTACGGTACAGTCAATTATGAATGGTAATTGGGGGTGGAGGCTAGAGCGTCTCTTTACTGTAATCTGAGCTCGGGATGTCATGGTAACGCTACAGAGGTGCGGGAATGGGAGCGGAAGCGGGTTGCAGGAGCGAGAGTAGGAGCGGGAGCTAGAGCAGACGCGGGTGACGGGCGCGCGGGTGACGGGCGCGACCCTGACTCTTGAAATAGTCTTCCGCGTTAATGCTGTGAGCGAAAATATCGCATGATGCTGCTGCAAGGTCACCTGAACACCACCCCCGTCCCAGACAACCGCGCCATATAAGGACTAAAACTGCGGAACTTAAGTAACGACTACTTGACCTTATTTAAATATGTACTTCTAAAATATTTTTGTTGAAGGTGAAGAAATAAAGTTAATGTTATTAAAAAAACTGTTTGCTTGTTATGTGCCAGTATGTTTTTTATTTGTCAATTACTATTCAATTTCAATTAGATTGAAATTCTATATTTCAAACATTAATTAACTTAAGTTCTTAACGTCTACAATTTTCTTTTTTATATTTTTTTGTAATTTCAGCGTCTGGTTTTATGGACTTATTTTTAACGAATGATAATGTCAGTGGTTTCTATCTAGTATAGACTAAAAACAGACTTTCTATGTATAAATGGAAATGATACTACATGTGATCGCAGAATTTTGAGTAATATAATTTTTGTTCTCACATTAATCAGTGAGATTAGTTTAAAAATATGAAAAACTCAAGTTCCCATGTTGGCCTACGGATATATAGGTTTGCTTTTACTAAAATCTGGTCAACCAAGTAGGTATCTATAACAGTGTTACTAAACTCCCGTCATGGAAAATGTTTGAGACCTTGAATGCGATTATATTAATTTTAGCGTATGTAAAGCTGTAAATCAGAGTTCGCAACTGTAAACATACTGCCCACACCTTGTAGAAAAATCAACGTTTAAAAAAAGTACGCCTTGAAAAATTTAACAACCTTGTTGAAAGTAAAGACTAGGTATTTGTACCTACTGTTTCAGTGCCAAAAATCAGCTTTACAAAAAGAACACTCAATAATTTCGATACCGAAATACCGATGGTTGCTATTTTCAAACATTAAACGAAATAAATGATTTAACAAATAAAACGGACAAATTATATATAAAAGTAATAATAATTACTTATTAAAAAGCATTAATCATACATTTCCAATTTATTTACTTAGGAGCTTTACAGTATATAAGGTATAACAATAAACGTGCACGAAAACAAAATTTTGTGCTAGGACTTGCATTCGAGTAATTCGAATATTAATTGAGAATTAATATTCGAATAGAAAGTCAATTCTATTGGAATACATTAAAATAATTTTATAACTATATTTTTTTTTTATTAAAATAAAACAAAATACACTCAATAAAAACAATTTGAACCGAGCGATTTCTTCCTTATAGATTGCTTTTCACTATACCGTTGATTTTTAGTCTTCAGAAAAATAGATGGTGGTGTAATTTCAGAAAGTATTTCATTAGCTTCTGCTTGACGATATTAATCCTGGCAATTGTTACCACTTATGAAGTTACATGTCTCTGATATGTCGGAAGTGCACATTTTTTAATTATTATGCTTACCAAATAATGTAATGATGCTTGCAAATACGAGTATAATATCAATAAGTCCGTAGGCACATGGAACCTACCTACAAAGATGTTAAAGTGCTGGTTTTTGATGATTTCTTACATGGCGAAGAAATCTTAGTTGAGTCTAAGGAGGCGTCTCGGCAAGAAGATTATTTGAGTCTCCTCAGTAAACAACTCTCTTTCAAAGATTTCTCTACTGGTCTATAGGCGACGGTTTCCATCAGATGAACCATCAGCTTGTTAGCCATTCTAAGTTGCATAAAAAAAGAATACCATCATATTACTAAGCAGTATTAAAGGATCACGTTTCTCTGCTTCCACCATATTACTCCATTCATTTAAAGGCTGAATTAACGAGATATATGATTTCGTTAACTCAGCGGTCATGTAAAAACATGCCCATAACGTGAACACCCTCCAGCCTATTTTTTAACATATCCATAGAGTCCCTAAAAGAATATTTTAACTCATTTGTTATCAATATTCGAATATCAAAATTTTCGAATATTTGCAAGCCCTGTATGTAACACATTTAAAGACCTATTAAAAAAACGCTATTATAAATAAACAAGCGCAAAAATTTGTACACAGCAGTATAGGTGTATTTTGTGATACGATATTAAACAATTGTCACTTTATTAAAAACATATGTATATACTATTTCTATCTAATGGCTGCCATCTTATCATTTTCAAATATCCCTGTCACCATTGTAGCAACTATCAGTCACTGACCATAGTCTGATTAAATAAGTAGTTTTGTTTAGAATTGTTGAAGTTCCCGAACAATAGTCTGTATATCAATCTAATAAAATGGTTTCAGCAATATAGGAAAGTTAATAGGTTTCTCAATATAAATGTCAATCATTGATTAGTTATGGTTACTTCCAACGTAGCAAACTAAAATTTAATTAAGCTAATTAATTGGTTTGACCGTGTGTGCCTAAAAACTTATAATGAGTTTACTACTTGATTTGTATTTTTAGATTTTTTCATAATAACAGTGTAATCCAAATGAAAATTAAAAATTATATGAAGTAAAAGACGTATAAAAAAGGATGTAATATACGCAGGTAGCGATTGATACAAACGCTGAAATTATAATAAACTAACAAAATGTTTTCACAGTAAGGGTGTACAGTGAGAGCCCTGACGACGTAGACCGCAAAGGTTAAAATTGGGCCGACATTGATTAATTTTATCCCAGTGATGACGATAGGTTTGCCATCAGCCACGTTAGATTCTAATACTTACGCTCGGCGAAATTTGAGCATGTTGAGTATTATGTTCATCACAACGATATCAGTTGATAAATGTCTCTTACATTAGGGATTGTAGTCGTGAAAATATATACATTTATTTTTATTTTATAAGGTAAGGGTTTTTATTTTTCAGAAGTACTTCAGGGTGGATGGCGCAGGCGTACATTCGATCACGTTACGATTCCGTGGAGTACGCACGCACTACGCCACGTGTCGAGATAATCGTGCGCTTTTGCGTCGCAACCAACACACTGCATTCAAACATGCGATGTCTTTGCACTGTACTAAGAGGTAATTAATAATATTCATACGCACAAATTTCTCATCATCAGCAAAAACATATCACGTTTTAACCTCGCGTGGACCGCGTAAAAACACGCGATGAATGTAAACACATTCATTGTCTGGACGTGGTTCGACATACCTAGATAATAAATATTTAAAATATTATTATCATGTTCAATGAATAATAATTTTGTGATATTATTTTTATCTTACAGTGATACAGTGTAATTTTCCATATGTTCACACATCCAGTACGAATTAGCAACAATGTCAACATCATGCTCGGGTTTATAAATTTTCTGGAAAAAAACATTTATATTATAAGCTTAAAAGCAGCTTATAAATTTACTGTTGAAATAAAGTCTTCATTCTTTATCGTTCCGTTTATATCGCAATTTTGTATTTTTATCCCTGTATTATCCGTTGCCCGTGTTGGTCATTGAGCTTGCTTGTCTTTGTACCTCATTTGTCATTTGGTTAAACAAAAAGAATGCCATATCTAAAATTGTACCTACTTAACATCAAATTTGAAAAGAGTAAGCAAAAAATGCAGGTCAGCGACCGGCGAAAAATACCTCACTCGGTTTCATATTGTACTGTAACGAAGTCATTGACGAGCAACTTGAATTCCAAAAATAAGGCCACCGAAGTATGCCGCCAATGCGAAAATGATTTTATACCAACGCTATTTTAATTGATAAACAGTATTGTTATTGTGTAAAATTTACTATGCCCAGTAGGTATATAATTATTATAATAAATGTAAAAAATTATAAAGGTAATTTGCATGTATCTTTGTTGAGATGTTTATTATTTAATTAGACTTAAATGACTGAATAGATTTCAATGAAATTTTATAACAAAGAGTATAGGGCTTTTCATCCCAATTCATACAGTCAAAGATACGCGTATTTTTTTTTTTATGGATGATAATGGAATAGTAATTTCGCCTGCGCTATCGGTATACGCTGACGGGGCACCAGTGAGAGATGATAGGTGAGTATGAAGCAGGTCAGTTGGCCCATCGTGATGAATTTAAAAAAAATTAACCATGATGGTTTCCAGGGGCAATCACATAGATTACGACCTGTTAGGGTATATTGCTAGCAATGGAGCTATTAGAACTCATTACTAACACTTTCACGCCTAGATGCGTGTATTACGTAGGATAGCTATTTTCAATTCTATTACAACCAGTAATTTAGTAATTGTATGCAATACATACAATCAATACATGATTTGGTACATGCAATAATAATATCTTGGATTAACATATAGGGTAATATTTTATTTAAGCAAAGTCGCGATATATTGTTAGTTTATTATTAATATGATCGAATTCTATTAATGTAGTGTAGGTTCGGTGACGAAGGGATGCACAAGTTTTGACATTTAAAACCATATACAGTTTATGTCAGTTACAGTTTGTATATATATATATATATATATATATATATATATATATATATATATATATATATATATATATATATATATATATATATATATATATATATATATATATATATATATATATATATATATATATATATAATTAAATAAGGCTAAATTTCGTAAGCTTTTGACAGTTCATGCCTTGCTTGTTGATATTATACTGTGAACATGCTGACTATTCTATAAATCTTGTTAGGTTTACCCGTTATTTTATATATATCAAGTCGTTGACATTATTAAAAATTTTACGCCGCTATCATTAGGTGTGTTACCATATCATAATATATAAAAATTTGGTGTCATTATATTTATTCATGGTAATCTCCGAAACCGCTAAATCTATTTTAATGAAACTTTGTTAATGTGTATTTATCATAGAGCTCCAACTTTAGAGATATATATTCTGCTAAGTCAAAATGGACCCGGTAGATGGTGGTAGGAGGCGAAACAACGTTTGCAGGATCAGCTAGTATATGTTAAGGGAAATTATTATGCTGGACTCATTTGGTGTACAGCACAGAGCGCGCAGATTGCGCGGGCAGCGGCGCGTAGCTGCGCGGCCTACTGCCCTGACCCACATCTCAGATGATTGTATGTAGATTTTGTAAGCTATAACTCAACCAAAGCATGAGGGTACGATGACAGCATCCATACGTTTTCTCCGCCCATTGTACAAGCGTGTCTGTCTCCTTGCGTCAGTATAAGAGTATAGCCGACGCGTCGCCGCGCCCTCGCCGTCGGTTTACACCAGAGAAATTGAGGCGATATCGCTTATAACGACCGCATGTACTTTCTGTCCTAGTGGCCAACAAAGATGACACCTATGCATGTACTTTCTTGTTTACTGAATTTAATCAAGTCTATAAAAAAAAAATCTAAATTGGTTAATTTTTTTTCCGTTTTTAAATTAATTACTTTAAATAACTACGACAAAATTCTAGTAAGAATAGACAGGGGTCTATACAGTACCCTGTACTGTACTGTACTGTCATAGCAGAAAACTTTTATTGTTCATTATTTATTACTATAGTATGGTCAAATCAAGGACATTTTGCTAAGAAGATTTTCAGTCCTTTTGATTCGACGTAATCGATAATTAGAACGAAGGGGGATCGTGTCCGTAATGGGAACTAGCGCCACCATTACCAGCAATATTGAAACCGTAGTAGTTAATTCCTTATGAATTTGTCACAATGTACTAGACAACATCCTCATTTATGCCTCATAGTTATTTCACTAGCATAAAGTAATAGCATAGGCAGAGTTTACATTTTCATCCATGAAAACAACATTAAACAAGTCACTCAATACAGTAATACCTCGACTTACGCTATCCCGACTTACGCGAACCCGGAATTACGCGATTATCATATCTCGTCTATTTCATTATTTGAATGTCACATAAATTTAGATTTTTATAAATTGTCTACATTATTGTTAAGCTAATGTGCATATTATTATCCGAACGTGTCCCGCGAAATGGACGCATAACTAGGAGCCACGAGCTCGTAGAAAGGCGTTAATGATTATACCCTGACTTAAGTAAATTCGATTTACGCGGTTATCGTTCAGTTCTACCTATCGCGCAAGTACGTGGTATTGCTGTATGTAATAATAACAAGAAATTGGATATCTACTATTATTAAATACTTACCTATCTACTATTATTAAATATATATGATTTTCAATACCTAGTAATTTGAGAAATAGGACAATTCGTTTAATGAAACACGCAAACTAAGTTATATTCGGAAATGCTATAAGTATACGAGTTTATATATGTAAGGAACGAAGTCCTTTCTCCACTGGTTGTTTGGCCCACCGCTGCTGCACTGTACGTCTCGAGCTCTCGATACTGCCTAAGATTTCTCTCGTGCCCGTATTTGGATTCAGGTTATATTCGCCTCGCCCAAACGAACACTTACAGCATTGACTTACTTATTTCAAGCAAGGAATAAAAAGATAATCACTTTTTCATGATGATAAAAACAAATATCCTACTTTTTACTTATATTTTAATTATAAAAAATGCGTAAAAATATTTGAATAACTCTAAATAAATAGCAACATTTTTCATATGACTATATATAAATGAATGAACGAAGCTTACACTTGCCACATTAATTATTCTTTGTAAGCTTTGCTGAAGTCATTGTTTTCCTACGAGAATCCGCATTTGGATTGACAGCTACGTATTCGATAGCGAATCTAAAATTGTTATTAGACATTTCGAATATTTTTATCAACAAATCCAAAATAATTAATTAGAGAGTAATTTAAAATTAATTGACTCAAGATAGTATACAACTCATTAAAGTCACCATTTTAGTTTTTCGGATTAAGAAGCAAACTCACGAACTGAGAGATCATGTCTAGAACGAATAGTGGATTTTATCTAGTTAATAATTTACAATCGAAACAGAAGAAATCATAATGTCTGATATCTTAAGTTTATACAATTTAATTCACGGTGGATTAAAAAATGTTAGATAACTATCATTTAAATTTGAAATCCCAAAGGTCGAGGCTAGACTTAAATAGAAAAGCTAATTTCATAAATTGGGCTTAAATTTATTAATAATTTTATAGCCTACAATTAAACTTAATAATTAATTAGTTGTTGAAAGTCGATATATACGTCTTTGCTTAGGGGAGTTAAAGGGGAATCGGGTAGGTAGTGCCCACACTAGCATGCGAGCGGTGTTTTTAACTATGCGCATACTCAGATATGTTTGAGAGTACATAAACTGCCGTTTTTAAGAGGCCAGCTTCCCTCACCCTATAAGATAATCTAAAATAAGTCATGTCATTTTTAGTTTATACGAAACGTAATTTGCAGACATTTAGGTATTAGTAAAAGTAAAAAGTAAATAAAAGGATATTTATTTTAATTACTGGTCTACTTGCTCATAGTGATGTACGTATGTAATACTAATTATTAAGTATTCAGTATACATGCTTTATCTATTTGAGTTTGGCCTCTAGGTGCGAGGCGTGGTCAATGTTAACCGCAGCTTCCTGGTTAGCAACTCAAAGATCGGGAAATCGTTTGAATGTCATGTTGATATTTTTGCACGGCCATGAATATACAAGGTCGCAACAATATTTTACTGTCGGCACCGATAAGCACGTAGAAAGTGATTCGATCGACGACGAATCTTCATATCTGGCGTTGTTCCAACCGTTGAATTGTTGGAACACAATAGCTTCTGCTGTTACATCATATTAGAAAATTCCTGTAAAAAATATAATGTTTAGGTATATGCAATTATTTGTGCACACTAAACCTAACTATTAATACATTGGGGAGAAAGGGATTGTTAGTAATGGAGACTGAGAATCCCATTGCTAGCAATATACCCAACCAGGTCGACCTCCTCGCGGTTCCCCTTGGAAACTATCATGGTTAATTCCCATTGAATTCATCATGATGGGCTAACTGGCCTGTTTTCATTCTCATCTATCACCCTTCACTGGTGCTCCGCCAGCGTATCCCGTTAGTTTACCGGGGTTACCATACCATTTTCACCCATCAAAAAAAAAAAACTATT